AACCTCTCTTCATTCCCGCCCCACAGTACACACTTCCCAGTTTCTGGTATCAATCATTCCACTCTCTACCTCCATGGGATCAACTTTTTTAGTTCCCATATATAACTGAGAACAGGTGATATTTGTCTTTCTGTGTCTGCCTTATTTTGCTTACCATAATGACCTCCAGTTCCATCCATGTTGCTACAAATGACATAAATTCATTCTTTTTATTGCTAAATTATGTATATATACCACATTTTCTTTATCCAGTTTTCCAATGATGGACACTTAGGTTGATTCCATGTCTTTGCTATTGTGAGTAGTGCTACAATAAACATGGATGTGCAGCTTTCCCTTTGATATATTGAATCCTTTCCTTTGGCTAAATACTCAGTGGTGGGATTGCTGGATCATATGGTGGTTCTGTTTTAAGTTTTTTGAGAAATATCCATCCTGTTTTCCATAGTTGGTGTGCTAATTTTATATTCCCATCAACAGTGTATAAGAGTTATCTTTTCTCCACATCCCAACCAATCTATTTTTTGCCATTTTAATAAGAGCCATTTTAATGAGGGTAAGGTGATATCTCATTGTGGTTTTAATTTTCATTTCCCTGATGATTAGTGATATTGAGCATTTTTTTTTCATATACTTGTTGGCCGTTTATATGTCTTCTTTTGAGCAGTGTCTATTCATGTCTTGTGCCCATTTCTTAATTAAAAAATTTTTTTCCCTGTCAGATTGTTAAGTTCCTTGTATATTCTGAACATTAGTCCCATGTTGGATGAGCAGTTTGTAAATATTTTCTCCCATTCAAGAGGTTGTGTCTTCATTCTGTCGACTGTTTCTTTTGCTATGCAGAAGCATTTTAGTTTAATATAATTTCAATTGTCTATTTTGTTGTTGTTGTTGCTGCCTATGCTTTTGAGGTCTTAGTCATAAAATCTTTGCCTGGACCAATGACTTTAAGAGTTTTCACTATGTTTTCTTCTAGTAGTTTTATAATTTGGGGTATTACATTTAAGTCTTTATCCATCTTGAGTTGATTTTTGTATTTGGTGAGAGACAGATCGAGTTTCATTCTTCTGCATACAATTATCCAGTGTTCACAGTACCATTCATTGTAGAGGATGTCCTTTTCCCAGTGAATGTTCCTGATGACTTTGTCAAAGATCAGTTGGTTATAAGTATGTGTATTTATTTCTGGGTTCTCTATTCTGTTACATTGGCCTATGTGCATTTTTTTTAACCAATACAATGCTGCTTTAGTTATTATAGCCTTTAAAGTCAGATAATGGTATGCCTCCAGCTGTGTTCCTTTTGTTCAGGATTATTTGGCTATTCTAGCTTTTTTTGTTGTTCCATATTAACCTTAGGATTTTTTTTTATTTCTCTGAAAAATTATATTGATATTTTAATAGGGATTGCATTGAATCTAGATTTCTATTGGCAATATGGTTTTAGCATGGATTGGAAGAATATTAGTTCTTGGAATGTCTTTCCATCTATTTCTGTCATCTGTAATTTTCTTCATCAGTGTTTTGTAGCTCTCTTTATAGAGATCTTCTACCTCCTTGGTTAAATGTATTCCTAGGTATTTTTTTATGGCTACTGTAACTGGGATAAAGTTTTTTATTTGGTTTTTAGATTAATCACTATTTGTGTATAGAAATGTTACTACTTTCGTACATTAATTTTGTATCCTGAAACTTTACCAAAATCATTTATCAAATCACATCTAGAAAACTTTTGAAGATGCGCAGTATAAGTTTTCTATATATAGGATTCTATCATCAGCAAACAGATAATTGACGTCCTCTTTTCCAGTTTGGATGTCTTTTATTTCTTTCTCTTGCCTGATTACTATGGCTAGGACTTCCAATACTATGTTAAGTAAGAGTGTTGAAAATGGGCATCCTTGTATTTTCCAGCTCTTAGGAGTAATGCAAAAATTTAGGAGGAATTTTGCCAATTCAGTATGATGTTGGTGTATGTATGTCATATATGGCCTTTATTATGTTGAGTATGTTCTTTCTATGTCTAAATTGTTGAGTGTTTTTATCAAGAGATGCTGAATATTATCAAATGCTTTTTCTGCATCTGTTAAAATGATCATATTTTTTTCCATTCATTCTGTTGACATGATGTATCATGTTTATGATTTGTGTATGTTGAACCATCCTTGCATCCCTGGTATAAATCCCATTTGATCATGGTGTATTATCTTTTTGATTTGCTATTGGATTTGGTTTGCTGGTATTTTGTTGTCATCAGGGGTATTAGTCTATAGTTTTCTTTTTTTGTATTTTCCTTGTCTAGTTTTGGTATCATAGCAAGACACAATTAGTTTTCACTTGGTAGGAGCAAGAGTATAACTTCACTGTCTTTCCTCAGGGGTATGACAACTCTCCTGCTCTCCATCATAATATTGTCCCCTAGGTCCCTGATCATTTTGACTCTCCAGAGAACATCGTTCTGCTCCATGATATTGATAACACCAAGTTGACTGGACCTGGTGAAATAAGTGTAAGTGTCTTAGCTGTGTTAGTAAAACATAGACATTCCAGCAGGTGGAAGATAAATCCCATGAAAATTCATAATTCCTGCCACTTTCAGATGTTCAGGAACATGTTGGTGAAAGATAGTGGAACATTTTGGTGAAAATGAAAGACAAGTTCCTTCACCTTGGTTGGTAGTAAAAATGCTTAGTTGGCATCTTTACATCTTGAAAGCAGTAGGTACCCCATTTAAATGTGATGCTTCAAGTCTTTTACTGAGTTACTTGTAAGACTGCTAATTTTGAGAAGTCTCTTTAGTTTGTCCAAGCTGCAGTATAAGCTGCTCTGCAATTTAGATCTTCTGAACTTGCAGATAAAATAATGCTTTAAGTGTCTGTTACAAGTTAGGATGATGTGTGAACCCTTTGGCAAGCCACAGTAGAAGGTTCCTATACAGATCCTAAATCTTGGAATATAGTCATAGTTCTATTCTGCTGATATATTTTTTTTCTTTTTGAGAATAACTTCTCACTTGCTAATGGGTCCTGGAAGAGACTGAACACTTAAGTATAGGACATCAATGACCATGCTACAGAGCCACTCACATTCAACTGCAGTGTCATATAACCCATGAAGCCATAAATTGTGGTGGGCACAAAAGTAGTCTACCATTAAGTGGGAATGGTATATATAGATTTGGACTTGAGAAGGTCTGGAAAGCTCAAGTGACATGCTTGAACAGGTAGATATCTCAGAATACCTGGGCACTTTTTCAATGCATCATCACTTCTCCTTCAGTACATTTTATGGTCTCATGAAGAGTTCTCTGTGGCCATTCATTGAAGGAAGAAAATGCTTGGGCCTGGTCTACCTATAAATCTGCATAATCAGCTGTTTCCAACGGGGAGTTCCAGTTGAGACATTAATGTTCCACTCTAGGGTGGCCTTACAGACAGTGAAGAAGGGCACTCTCAGTGGAAAAAAGAAACAAAGCAGTATATTCTGTTGTCTACTTTGCTTAAGAGATGTCCTGAGGTATAGATCTAGTCTTATTCAAAGGCAGTTGTGATATTGCCCAATTAATCAAAGACTTAGAAAAAATGAGGTTGACTGCAAGAGGCATATGGAGAAGGTGGTTGCATTCCTTAGAATGACTCTAGAGTATATCACCTGGTGATTCTGCACTTTGAAATGAGTATTTATGGACTTTGAAATGACTGATGGGAAGGGACTTTGTTTCCCTTTCAAGGAGGTTAAGTGTCATCGTTTGTATGAATGATGGAAGCATGTTTGGGAAATAAATGTAGGTAGAATGTAGGAAATAAATGTAGGTAGGAATGTGAGAACAAACGCTGAGTAGCAAAAGAGGTGGATGGTGTCATTCATTTGTTTGCCTTCTGATCCGTTTCCTACCCTTCTCCTGCTCTGTTTCACAAGGGGGCAAATTTGGCAGATTACATTTCCAAGGTTCTCTTTATAAATGGATTCTGGTTAGGCTGGCCAATGGTGGAGCCTGGTGGAAGATTAAGCCACCTGTGGAAGCATTTCTCCCCATCTCCCTCCACTTAGGGCGGCATCTCCAGCAGTGGCTGCTTCTCTGTGCATTCCTCTCTAGCCTCAGCTTTCATTGTCATTCCAGTCTCTGCCACATGGCTCACCTCCTAATTTTTCCAGTTATAGAAGTGATAGAGGCTTCTTGTTATTACTAATGTGGGTTGCCTCCCCATTCCTTATTTGGCTTTTGGCTTTTTCAATCTCTGTGGCTGGATCCCCATGTTAAATTCCATCTATTGAGCTATTGTATGAGCTCTGTTTTCCTTACTAGAGCATAGCTAAAACACGAAAATATGTTGCTCCCCAGTGAATTCCACTTCTCATGCTGCACAGTTGCCTCAACTGTTTGCTATGATTCATCAGGGGCAATAGCAACATCAAAACATGTTTAAACTACCATATATACATGTTTAAACATTAGTTTAAACTACTATATATTGACATTTTGCCTCTCAAATCTTTATCATAGCTAAACTGATGAGTAACAAAATATGTGCCAAACAGGCTTTCTTGGCTAAGTTCTTTCTGGTCAAAAGAACTTATCATCTTCATTTCTGCCATTTTCTTTCCCTGATAGAACCTATACAAGTCATCTATTGTTATGTAACAAATTATACATTTATTATTTATTTTATTTTATTTTATTTTATTTATTTTTTTTTTGAGACGGAGTTTCACTCATGTTACCCAGGCTGGAGTGCAATGGCGCGATCTCAGCTCACTGCAACCTCCGCCTCCTGGGTTCAGGCAATTCTCCTGCCTCAGCCTCCTGAGTAGCTGGGATTACAGGCATGCACCACCATGCCCAGCTAATTTTTTGTATTTTTAGTAGAGACGGGGTTTCACCATGTTGACCAGGATGGTCTCGATCTCTTGACCTCATGATCCACCCGCCTTGGCCTCCCAAAGTGCTGGGATTACAGGCTTGAGCCACCGCGCCCGGCCTATTATTTATTTTATACTGTGTCTTAGGGTCAGGAACCTGTGTACAATTTGCCTGGGTGGTTCTAGCTCAGGATCTCTCATGAGGTTGCAGTCAAGCTGACTGGCAAGTTGAACTTATCTAGAAGCTTGACTTGGGCTGGAGGATCTGCTTCTAAGCTATGTTACTAGCAGGAGACTTCCATTTCTAGCCACTTGGGCCTTTGCATAAAGATGCTCATAATATGGCAGATTGTTTCCCCTAGAGGTAGAGATGAGAGAGAGAGAGAGAGAGAGAGAGAGAGAGAGAGAGAGAGATAAAAGTGCGGCATCTTATAACCTAATCCTGGAAGTGACATGCCATCACCTCTACTGTACTGTTTTGGTCACACAAACCAATCCTGGTGTAATGTAGGGTGAGGAGGCTACCCAAGGATGTCGTACCAGGAAGTGGGTTCATTGGGTATATCTTGGACACTGGCAACTACAGAACCCATAATTAATCATCAAGAAAGATCCATCTCTATTTTTTTTGACATTATATATAATTTTTTATATCAAGAAAACTGAGGCTTGTAGGAGAAAGAGAAAAATAAAACATGATTTGATGTCAAAATAATCACGTAAATTCTGTTAAAGTCTCTATATGCCTATTGTAACCTTCCAAAATATCTTTTGTTAGCATCTATAATTTTCAAAGGGGAACTTTATATCTGTTGTTTCATTTGTGCCTCAGAAAAATACCATAAACTTTGCAATTAATTTTTAAAATACCATGAGGAAGGCTGCACAGATGTTTTCCTCTGTCTCTCACAGATGAAAAAGACTAAGGCTTTCAGGCCCGCTCAGGCCACTCAGAAGGAGCTGGGAGAATCCCAGTTTTCTGACTCCTAGTCCGACAGCCTCTTTACCACACTTCGCTACTTTATCTTTGAAATGTAAACAGATTTCAAATTTGTTTGGTTTTTGTTTTAAAACAACGCCCCACAAAGGACTCAAGGTGGTTATATTTATTGGTGTAAAATCACTAACGTAAAATAGGACTTGTAATTGGCCTCATAGATTCTCTTTCTAAAGCAATAGTTAAACTGGTTATCTCGCTTTTAAGAGGGCCAGTCTGTGTACTTAGCAAATCCACATAATTTATTCTAAGAGGTCTAAGGGGATTTTCATTTTCAGGTTTCTTTTACTCTGAGGCCTTTTAAGCTAGAAGGCTAATCATGCTGCATTGTGGTAAGCATCAAGTCAAGAATGGAAGGCTCTCTGTACTCACCATTCCCAGCCCTGAAGCCCTGACAAGATAGGGGAGTGTGTGTGTGTGAGTGTGTGTGTGTGTGTGTGTGTGTGTGTGTGTGTGTGTGTAGGATAATATTACTTTTTTGCTATCACTGTAACTTAGTTAAATAAGAGTTTAACTAGTTGAGAACATTCAAGATAGTCCTCCCTTTCCAAAGAAAGATTGTCATTATTAAATTTCATCTACTTGACTTTCTCTTTTCCAAAGAAATTCTGCTAATTTAAATGAAAGTAAAATTGCCTATCAAGGCCCCACTTGAAGCAACTAGAACCTAGATTAATGGTAGGTTGGTAATTCCTCAACATGCCCTGAACTTCTATGTAGCTTCTAAATAAAAGATTTCCTTCCACTCACCTCCTCTCATATAAGAAGCAGATGGTCCTTACAGTCCTGGCTTACACTCTCAAGTGCACAGATCAATGAGAGAGCTGGCTTTCAGTCATTAACAAGCATAAAAAAAGAAGAAAATGTTAGTGCTTTTCCAGTCACGTGATCCACAGTGTCATGAATGTGGTTTGAACAGAGTGTCTGACAGATCACACATCACAATGCAGGTTCCTCACTCAATTAGGGGCAGGAGTGTTCTATTTCCACAGCTGATCAATTCTCCATCCTTCTGGGCTCTCAGGCTGTCTGCTCCTTGCTGTAACTGGAACCAAAGTTTTGATTCACATTCCGTAAACCCCAAGCCCCATGTTCATTAAAGGCCCCTTCATTCCTCTCTTAGCTCTAATATGAGTTGTATGTTTTTGAAAGGTTAATTCTTCAGAAGTTTTCCACACTTGGAAATAAAGATCAAAAATTCAAGATAATTATCCATCAAAGAAAGGAGACAATGTGGGGAGGAAGTAAAGAGAAAGGAAACAGTAAAAGGGCTTAATGGAGCCTTGTAGAAAGGATTGGTTTGCTACTACATGGAGAATATAAAACCCAATCCCTCCTCTTTAAACCTATCTGTACATGAATAGATCTGGCAGGTCCTAAATTGCACAATTCAAATGGGAAAGATGGTACCAATTTGCTTGCAATCAGCATACCTAAGTCACTGCCTTCATGTAAAATCAAGATGCTGTAAGCAGCATTCACTCTCTGGAGATTAACCAAAAAATAAATAATCCTTCAGGCATAACAACTAGAAGATTAATGACCTTTTAAAATATGCTATTAATTATTTGTCAAACAAAAAGTTACCCAAATCCCATAAGCACCAAGGTTAACTTTCTGGTAAATACCCAGTCCTCAATGAATTTCTTATTGAATCTCTGTTAAAGCATCTAGATCGACAGTTCTCAAAAGAATCAGAGGAGAACTTATTTCACATGCAGATTCCCATCCCCCTGCAAAAATGATTCTAAGTCAACAAGTGGGGGTGTAGCCAGAGAGGAGTTCCTCTGAGGCGTTTGATAAGAGGATATTAGAAGAGTAAATGAAAAGTCCTCCAGTGCAGTCCAGGACCAACAACTCCGGCATCACATGAGAACTTGTTGAAATGCAGAATCTCTGGACTGACCCAGACTTCATCTGCATTTTAACAAGATTTTCAGGTGCTTGGCATGTAAATTAAAGTTTAAGAAAACGCTTGTAGAGTAAGAGTCAGCAAACATTTTCTACAAAAGGCCAACTAGTAAATATTTCAGGTTGTGTATGCCATGTGTCACTGTCACAGCTACTCAGCTTTGCCACTGTGGTGCCAAAGCAGGCAATACAACAGAGGTCTGCAAAGCATGGCCCATGCAGGCCAAGTCTGGCCACTCATCCGTTTTTGTGCAAGTTACTAGCCAAGAAATGTTGTTGCGTTTTTAAATGGCTGAAAAATAATTAAAAGAAGAATAATACCTTGAAATATTTGAATGTTATATTACATTTACATTTCTATGTGGCAAATTAAGTTTTATCAGAACACAGCTATATTCGTTTACATTTTGTCTATGGCTGCTTTTCTGCTACAAAGGCAGAGGTGGATAATACTGACAGAAATCATATGGCTTGCAAAAGCTAAATATTTACTATCTGGCCCTTTAAAGAAAAGATTTGCCAATGCCTCTGATAAAATTTTATTCGTGGACACTGATGTTTGAATTTCATGTAATTTTCAAATGTCACAAAATATTAGTCTCCTTTGGATTCTTTTCCTAACCATTTGAAAATATAAAAACCATTTTACCTTTTGAGCTGTACAGACACAGGCAACATCTGAAGCAACCTGTGTTCTGCAGAGGTTCATTTGAGAAACACAGCCCAGGTTTCCTGAAAAGAAAAAAAAAAAAATCTTTTTATGCAGAGTTTCTCAGTCTTGGATATGGTTGTGACCTTTCAGAGCCTCAGCTTCTTCTAAAATGATTTTGACATCAGATTATCTCTATTTCACTTATTTATTTATTGTGATGGAGTCTCGCTCTGTTGCCTAAGCTGGAGTACAGTGTGTGGTCTCAGCTCACTGCAGCCTCTGCCTCCTGGGTTCAAGCAGTTTTCCTGTCTCAGCCTCCCAAGTAGCTGGGATTACATGCGCGTGCCACCACACCCTGCTAATTTATGTATTTTTAGTAGATACAGGGTTTTACCATGTTCGTCGGGCTGGTCTCGAACTCCTAGCCTCAGGTGATCCGCCCGCCTCAGCCTCCCACAGTGCTGGGATTAGGGATGTGAGCCACGGTGCCCCAGTTATATGATCTCTGAGATCCCTTTTTGGCACAGACATTTTATCTTCCTACCACCTCCCCAACCTTGCTTTAATTCTCAACCTCCTAATTTCTCTCCAGCTAGCAAAGGGATTTTAAATGTAAATTTAAATCGTTCCGGAAAGAAATAAGGTTTGGAGGACAGAATCTGCAGCGGCAAATCCTCACCAGTTGCCATTTTTGGTCATTGTGGGGATTTGCCTTGCGTCTGTTACTCCAGTCTTTTTTATAAAAGCCGGAAATTAGCTACGCTAATGAATAAAGACATTCCTTCCTGCCTTTCTCACCTCCCTTGCACGTGCTGGTGAACCACTATTGATGGTCTCCCCAGGACCACTGTCAATAGTGATCTCATTTCTCCTAAATGAATCCACCCCTTGTCTGGTCTCAGTCCTGTGGTTTTGGAAGGCTTTCTCTACCCCAGATTCTAGAAGTAGGCACTGATTTGATGTGATCCCAAATCAGGATCAATAAGATGTAAAGAGATATTTCTTGAACTCCTCTTTCTGCATGTGCTTCTGTGAGGGAGAACTATTTTTTAATGGGTACAAACAAGGAGAAACGTGGCCATGAGACCTGCTGAAGCCATCTTGTGACCCCAGAGAAAAGCCTGACTAAAAATAGCACCAACTCCAAGAAACCAGAGATGAGAAATGGAGAGCATTTCCTTTGAGCCTGGGATCATATTTCACCTGAAGCTTTCTTTAAACTATTTAAGCGGATGGGGCAACAAATTTTTTATTATTCAAACCAGATTGAAAATAATTTCCATTATTTATAATATAGAATCCTAATAGGTATATTTCAACTCACCCATCTTCCTTTAAAGTTTTGTTTCAAATACTTACATTTTATCTGATCATATGTAAATGTTGCCCTATTTCCTCTCCTCCAAAAGAATGAATTCCCAGTGGAGTACTGTCAAACTTAAAATCAAAAGATGGCTGTGGTGCAACCCAGATAACAAGAAGCTCTTCCAGAAGTTGAATCCTTGAAGGCAAGCAAGGACAAGACTCCAAACTTTCTTCCCTGCTCAAATGAAACCATGGTGCAAAATTCAGTTTCAGATCAAATGAAAGCTCAAATTTCAAGGTCAAATGAAACCGTGGTACAAAATTCAGCTTCAGTTATTAGAGCAGCTTTTTCATCTTCAGGATCATCACTAAAAAGCCCAATATGTGTGGGCCACCACACAGGAGAGGTATAGTTGCATAAATTAGGAAACCAGAGACAGATGATGAGAGAGCTTTCTGCTTTTCCCAAGGAGAGCTCATGTAGGAGGGCTTATGTCAAGCATTAATTTGAAGTCAGGGTTCAAAGATCTGACCAACAGTGTGACTTTGGGCTTGTCACATCCTGACCTAGCCTTCAATGTGAAATTTCCTCATCCATAAGATAAGTGGGGTGAATTTTAGTGACCCGTCTGGTCTTTTCAAACTTTCTGAAATGCCTTGGCCCCTCCTCTGTAGCAAGACAAGCGAAGGACAGTCACCTCAACAGCACACTCTATGTAGAGTGTGCATGGGGCGGGGAAGGGAGTGCTGTTGGTAGCTTTTCTGCGTCATTCATGCTCCTACAGTATCCATTCTTGAGAGAAACAACAGACATATCAGAACTAGAAGCCACCCTTTTGGGTTAATGGTGTGATGGGAAAGGATGGAAGCTACAGGTTTCAGTGTGGTGTTTTCTAAGTCATCCCAAAAGCTTCTCAGCAGAGATGGGAAGTTCCTGTTTCTCTTTTTCTCTAGACAAGTACAAAGCTACATGTGGCCAGTAGGAAAACTACAGTACCATAAGAAAGACTAAGAGTTTCGCTGCCTCTTTTTTTTTTTTTTTGAGATGGAGTCTTGCTCTGCTGCCCAGGCTGGAGTGCAGTGGCACAATCTCTGCTCACTGCAGCCTCTGTCTCTTGGGTTGTTCAAGTGATTCTCCTGCCTCAGCCTCCCGAGTAGCTGGGGTTACAAGTGCTCACCACCAGACCTGGCTAAATTTTTTGTATTTTTAGTAGAGATGGGGTTTCACCATGTTGGCCAGGTTGGCCTTGAACTCCTGACCTCAGATGATCTGCCCGCCTCAGCCTCCCAAAGTGCTGGGATTACAGGTGTGAACCACTGCACCTGGCCAGAGTTCAGCAGCCTCTTAGGGGTGCTTGGTTCAAATGTAAATTCCCACCACTCTTCACTTCAACTCCTAGGGCACAGAGTCCAGGAGGCTCTGGGTCGAGCCAAGGAATACACAAAATTCTAAGGTGCTTTGGATTCAGATAGACCTTGAATCACACATTGAAAAGTTGCTGTCCTAAGAAATGTATTTCTTCAGAATTTTAAGAATAAACAATAGTCATTTCTAATAAACTTTGTTCTAAATACTTACAAAAATGTGGCTCATTGGATCATCCTTGCAAAGTATTTATTATAAAATTATGAAATTTGTTTGAAAATGATTTATATAAAAACACCTCCTACAGGCTTTGATATATATTTTGTCTCACCAAATGTTAGTTATATGATATATTTCACAGTTATACAACATAAGAAGTGACCCAAAGGTAAATGACAAGAAGCCACGCTGACTAGCAAATACCCTCAGACCCCTACCAGATACTGTAACCTCCACCCCTAGGTGTCTTGTTAGATGCAGAGGAATGTTCTGAGGTTTTTTTTGTCTGTTTTCCTCTCGAGTAGTTGAGCTGCCATTAATTTCAAAGTATTTTCGGGGTGCAGAAGAGTAGGGACTAATAGAGCTGGGGGTAGGAACATAAGAACCTTGGGAGAAAGGCAGACATTACTTTCAGTCTGTGCTCCACCACATATTTGCTGTGTCATTTACAGTAAGTTACGTGACCTCTCTGTGCTTTAGTTTCCTCATCCACAAAATGGGGAGGATGAGATGAGATAATACGGATAAGGTACTTAGGGTACTTCTGGACACGTACAAGTGCTTATTATTATATGTCATTTGCTTTGCATGTCAGAGGGAGAGAGTCAATCCAAACACAGGGCTAGGCTTTGGGGGACACTGGAGAGCTGGAGCCAGTCCTGGCTCAAGCTGAGCATGAAAAGAATTCCCAGGCAGTTCATAGGGTTGGGCCTCATGCCCAGCACATCCCACTTAACGACCATTCACAAACATTCACTACTTAGAAGGTCACTTTAATAATTAGCCCTGCTTTGCTAATTACACTTTACTGATTAGGAGCTATGCTGACAATACTGGGGTTGTTGTGAGTGTTTTTTCTTAATTTCTTTCTTTCTTCTTTCTTTCTTTTCAGACATCTGAAAATAATGGTGATTCTTTTTAATGCTGGGCTTTTATCTTTAAGTGGGACATCAATAGGGCATTGGGCTGGAAATGCAAAGAGAAAAATGGGGGCCAGAAGATGCTGTTGATGAATCTCACCCCTTTTCCCTTGAGCCTAAATCTGGACGATCTCCCCTTCCCCACGTAAATAAACTTTAGGATTAGGAGACAAGTTGTCTGCTTGTAGATCTTTTGAAAAGTCTGATGTTGGCCGGGCTCGGTGGCTCACGCCTAATTCCAGCACTTTTGGAGGCTGAGGTGGGTGGATCACTTGAGGTTAGTTCAAGACCACCTGGCTAACTTGGTGAAACACCGTCTGTATTAAAAATACAAAAATTAGGTGGGCGTGGCGGTGTGCGCCTGTAATCCCAGCTACTTGGAAGGCTGAGGCAAGAGAATAGCTTGAACCCAGGAGGTGGAGGTTGTAGTCGAGATTGTGCCACTGCACTACAGTCTGGGCGACAGAGTGAGACTCCGTCTTAGGGGAAAAAAAGTCTGATGTTTGTGGTTTGTATAAACATTTTGCTAATGACACACATGGAGAGCCCACTCTGCTCAGCATTCTGTCACGCTCGTGAACAGTGCACAAGAGTCCGATGAAGTTCTAGTGCTCATCCTTTGAAATGACTTGCCCAAAGTCCCACAGGCAATGGATGCTAGGGGTAAAACTTGAACCCAGTCAGTCGTGGGGAAAACCAGCAAATCCTTAGAAATTGCTTGCCCACGGCCGGGCGCAGTGGCTCACGGCTGTAATCCCAGCACTTTTGGGAGGCCAAGGCAGACGGATCATGAGGTCAAGAGATCAAGACCATCCTGGCCAACGTGGTGAAACCCCGTCTCTACTAAAAATACAAAAATTAGCTAGTCATGGTGACGAACGCCTGTAGTCCCAGCTACTTGGGAGGCTGAGACAGGACAATCCCTTGAACCCGGAAGGTGGAGGTTGTGGTGAGCCGAGATTGTGCTGCTGCACTCTAGCCTGGAAGGCAGAGCGACATTCCTTCTGAAAAAAAAAAAAAAGAAAGAAAGAAAGAAAAAAGAAAAAGATATGGCTTGCCCAAAGTCACGCAGGCCGTGGATGCTGGGGGTGAAACTTGAACCCAGCCCGTCGTGGGGAAACCCAGCAAGTCCTTAACCACTGGACCTCTTTGAAACATTTGACCATGGTCTTTCTCTTCTCTTCTTTTTTACTTAAAAAGGGGGCTTAAAAAAAAAAAAAGCAGTTAGGAGTCTAGTGTGCTTGGAGTAGTAACACCATTTAGCGCGCCA